ACTCAAAACACACGCACTCTGCCACCGGAAGCGAGGTTGAGTGGGGTTTTGAGTCGTGGCATGACTCAAGGCCGCACTCACCAGCGTCTCTGATCGCTGCACTGCACTGGTCACATAGCTCGGCAGCCACGCCAGCAGTCCAAGCGATTTTTCGCCAGGCATAAGGACATAGGAATAGAGCGTTCTGGCGGAGTTATTGAGGAAGTTATCTTCCAGCATGGGCGCACAGCGAGCTATGCGTGGCATGACTCAAGGCCGCACTCACCAGCGTCTCTGATCGCTGCACTGCACTGGTCACATAGCTCGGCAGCCACGCCAGCAGTCCAAGCGATTTTTCGCCAGGCATAAGGACATAGGAATAGAGCGTTCTGGCGGAGTTGTTGAGGAAATTATCTGAGTATGGAAGGTGGAGGAAGGGGGGTTCGGGAGAGATGATTTGGGCTGAAGCAAGTGTGGATGGATGACACACGCACTCTGCCACCGGAAGCGAGGGTGAGTGGGGAAGGAAGTATGCTTTAGAGTCGACTCAAAACACACGCACTCTGCCACCGGAAGCGAGGTTGAGTGGGGAAGGAAGTATGGTTTTGAGTCGACTCAAAACACACGCACTCTGCCACCGGAAGCGAGGGTGAGTGGGGAAGGAAGTATGGTTTTGAGTCGACTCAAAACACACGCACTCTGCCACCGGAAGCGAGGGTGAGTGGGGAAGGAAGTATGGTTTTGAGTCGACTCAAAACACACGCACTCTGCCACCGGAAGCGAGGGTGAGTGGGGAAGGAAGTATGGTTTTGAGTCGACTCAAAACACACGCACTCTGCCACCGGAAGCGAGGGTGAGTGGGGAAGGAAGTATGGTTTTGAGTCGACTCAAAACACACGCACTCTGCCACCGGAAGCGAGGGTGAGTGGGGAAGGAAGTATGGTTTTGAGTCGACTCAAAACACACGCACTCTGCCACCGGAAGCGAGGGTGAGTGGGGAAGGAAGTATGGTTTTGAGTCGACTCAAAACACACGCACTCTGCCACCGGAAGCGAGGTTGAGTGGGGAAGGAAGTATGGTTTTGAGTCGTGGCATGACTCAAGGCCGCACTCACCAGCGTCTCTGATCGCTGCACTGCACTGGTCACATAGCTCGGCAGCCACGCCAGCAGTCCAAGCGATTTTTCGCCAGGCATAAGGACATAGGAATAGAGCGTTCTGGCGGAGTTATTGAGGAAGTTATCTTCCAGCATGGGCGAACAGCGAGCTATGCGTGGCATGACTCAAGGCCGCACTCACCAGCGTCTCTGATCGCTGCACTGCACTGGTCACATAGCTCGGCAGCCACGCCAGCAGTCCAAGCGATTTTTCGCCAGGCATAAGGACATAGGAATAGAGCGTTCTGGCGGAGTTGTTGAGGAAATTATCTGAGTATGGAAGGTGGAGGAAGGGGGGTTCGGGAGAGATGATTTGGGCTGAAGCAAGTGTGGATGGATGACACACGCACTCTGCCACCGGAAGCGAGGGTGAGTGGGGAAGGAAGTATGGTTTAGAGTCGACTCAAAACACACGCACTCTGCCACCGGAAGCGAGGTTGAGTGGGGAAGGAAGTATGGTTTTGAGTCGACTCAAAACACACGCACTCTGCCACCGGAAGCGAGGGTGAGTGGGGAAGGAAGTATGGTTTTGAGTCGACTCAAAACACACGCACTCTGCCACCGGAAGCGAGGGTGAGTGGGGAAGGAAGTATGGTTTTGAGTCGACTCAAAACACACGCACTCTGCCACCGGAAGCGAGGGTGAGTAGGGAAGAAAGAAAGTATGGGGCTGGGTGGGGAAAGTGGAAAGGGTTGGTTTCCTTTCATGGCGTTGTGTTCAAGAGAATCTGGGCTACATGAGAAACTGGGCTGTAAGGAGAAGATTGAATCCGTTTAGCATAATATGCGAGGTTGAGATTGAGGGCTGGATGGAGGAGAGGAGACTGGAGCTTGAGTATGGAAGGTGGAGGAAGGGGGGTTCGGGAGAGATGATTTGGGCTGAAGCAAGTGTGGATGGATGTTTATGGGCCATGGCTGAAGCATGTGTGGATGGGTGGTGGAAAAGCATTGAGCTTGGGAATGAAATATGGAGGGGGTGGGGGAGAGACGGAGGGGCGATTTGGGTTGAAGGGGGATGGATGGATGGATGGATGGATGGATGGATGGAAGGATGGAAGGATGGATGGATGGATGGATGGAAGGATGGATGGATGGATGGATGGAAGGATGGATGGATGGATGGAAGGATGGAAGGATGGATGGATGGATGGAAGGATGGATGGATGGATGGATGGATGGATGGATGGATGGATGGATGGATGGATGGATGGATGGATGGATGGATGGATGGATGGATGGATGGATGGATGGATGGATGGATGGATGGATGGATGGATGGATGGATGGATGGATGGATGGATGGATGGATGGATGGATGGATGGATGGATGGATGGATGGATGGATGGATGGATGGATGGATGGATGGATGGATGGATGGATGCTTATGGGCCGTGGCTGAAGTACACGTGTGTGTGTGGGTGGGAAAGCATGGAGCGTGGGAATGAAAGCAAGAGGATGCGGGAGGGGGAGGTTGGGGGTACGAGACTGCGAGAGAAATTGCGTGGTTTTCTCGTACCCCTACCATACGAGAAATTGTAGGGGTACGAGAAAACCACTGAAAAATTGCGTGGTTTTCTTCCTCAGTGTCCAACCATCCCCTTCGCCCTCCTCACTCCTTGCCAACCCCCCGTTTCCCCTTCCCCAGCAACTGGCTGCAGGTGGAGCACGGCTTTGTGAGAGCGGTTGAAGGATTGGCTAGCTCAATCCCAACATTTCCATTCCCCTCCCCCCCTTTCACACACCAACCCCTGCCCTCCGCCCCAGCGACTGGCTGCGGGTGGAGCATGACTGTGTGAGGGCGATCGAGCATGACAAGAAGTCTGTGAAGGTGTGTGTGTGGGCGGGGTATGACTGTGGGGTAGACGCTAGGGAAGATGTGGGCTGCAGGGACCTTTCTTTCACGGGTGGGCAGGTGGAGCATGACTGTGTGAGAGCGATCAAACACGACAAGAAGTCTGTTAAGGTGAGGTTTGGCACGTATGGACTCTGTTTTTTCCCATTTTCATTGTTTCTTTTTTCCTGTTTCTGCTCTGTTTTCTCTGCCACTTCAAGTGTTCCAAACCTCATGGAAGCATGACATATGTGCGTGTGGAACATGCACAGAGGGTATGCAGTCAATGCCTTGTGTTGAGAAGTCTCAAAACACTACTTCTTTCACGTGTCTCTCTTCTACCTGCACTTCTGAGGCGCCTCAAAACCTAAGTCTCATTCCCGGGCGCCTCAAAAGTTTCTCATACGTTGAGGCGCCTCAGATGTGGACATGCACGGATGGCATGTCAATGCCATGTGTCTCTCTTCCACCCGCACTTTTGTTAGAAATTACTTATGCCTGGGAATGACATTTGAATCGCTCCCAGCGACAGATCTTGTTAGTCGATTTAGAAAGGTGACACTTGAATCGCTTCAAAGCCAATGGCGCTGCTTCCTGGTCTTTCTTTTACAAAAGAAAAAAGAGAAAGAAGAGAAAGAAGGAAAGAAAGAAAGAGAAGAATTGGCGCATGATTATGCATCTCTCTCCTTTCCCCCCACCCCTGCCTCCCTGCTCCCCTTCCACCAACTTTTCCGTGCAAACCACACCACACCGCACTGAATCACACCACACCGCACTGAACCACACCACACACCACACCATACCGCATTACCCCAGGCGCACTTCTACCTGGGAACGGCCCTGACAGAGCTCGCTCGCTACCCCGAGGCAGCTCATGTGCTGGAAAGGGTGAGCTAGTCGTGCCACACTGCACCACATTGCACCACACTCACTCCAAGCCCTTACAGAGCTTGGTCGCTACCCCGAGGCTGCCCATGTGCTGGATAGGGTTAGCAGATTAGCGGTTTGGTGACTGCTTATTGATCGTACTACACCACACCACACCGCATCGCACTGCATCACACCTTGGACCGCACTGCACCACACCACGTGCACTTGTGCACTGGTCTGTGATCTTCTTTTTCCCCCCTGCCTGCCTGCCTTCCCACCTGCCTGCCTGCCCTTCTCCCCCTCCCTGCCTGCGTGCTTCCCTGCCAGCCCACCCTCTTTTGGCTCGTTTATTCCAGGCAGTGGTGATCATTCGGGACGACGAGGTGCTGGGCAGCAGCAGAGGGAACACCAAGGGTACTGCTCAGCTCACGGCAGCTGACATTGCTCTCCCTCCCTTCCTTCTCTCTCTCGCCCCCACCAGGCGGTGGAGATAATTCGTGATGACGCAGTGTTGGGCAGCAGCAGAGGGAACCGCAGCTTGAGATGCACCCACGGGGAACCAAAGTAGACGGACAGCTGAGCGTCCTCCTCCCTCCCCACCTGCCTGCCTCCCTACCCGCCTCCCCACCAGGCGGTGGAGATCATTCGGGACGACGAGGTGGTTGGCAGCAGCAGAGCAGAGGGAAGCGCGGCTTCAGATGCACCCACGGGGAACCCAAGTGGACTGACAGCTGAGAATCCTCCTTCCCCCTCCCTGCCTGCCTCCCCACCTGCCTGCCTCCCTACCCGCCTTCCCACCAGGCAGTGGAGATCATTCGGGGCGACGAGGTGCTGGGCCGCAGCAGAGGGAAGAGCAGCTTGAGATGCACTCAAGAGAAACCCAAGTGGACTGACAGCTGAGGGTCCTCCTTCCCCCTTCCTGCCTCCCTCCCCACCTCCCTGCCTCCCTGCATGCCTGCCCGCCTGCCTGCCTCCCCACCAGGCCGTGGAGATCATTCGGGGCGACGAGGTGCTGGGCAGCAGCAGAGGGGACCACCTTACCTGCCCTCGCACCATCACTCTCTCATCCCCTCCCTCCCGTCTCCCTCCCTCCCTCCCTCCCTGCCTGCCTCCCCACCAGGCAGTAGAGATCGTTCGGGATGACGAGGTGCTGGGCAGCAGCCGATGGAGCCACTGCCACTCACTGCCGCTCTTCTGCCCTGTGCTGACCCCCACCAGGCCGTGGAGATCTTTCGGGGCGACGAGGTGCAGGGCAGCAGCAGAGGGAACCAGCTTGCCTGGCCTGGCACCATCACTCTCTCATTCCACCCCTCCCTTCTCCCTCTCCTTCCTACCAGGCGGTGGAGATCATTCGAGACGACGAGGTGTTGGGCAGCAGCAGAGGGGTGCATTGGCAGACGGGTATTTGCATGAACAGATAGACCCTCCCTCCCTGCCCGCCTCCCCACCAGGCAGTGGAGATCATTCAGGACAACGAGGTGGTGGGCAGCAGCAGAGGGAAGAGCAGCTTGAGATACACTCACGGGGACACAGCGCCGTTACAAATCCTCCTTCTCCCTCGTTCCCTGCCTTCCCTGCGTTGCTTGCTGCCAGGCTGTGGAGATCATTCGGGACGATGAAGTGCTGGGCAGCAGCAAAGGGAACTTGAACGATGTGTGGAACGCCATGGCCACTGCCAGGTGGGTGCTGATAGTGTAATATGAGGATACAGACATGCATGCATGCATGTATGTATGTATGTATCATCAGGCACACTATTTCCAGAGATTCACTTTGCCATGCAGTGCTGGGTAGCAGCAGAGGGAACTTGAACGACATGTGGAACGCCATGGCCACTGCCAGGTGGGTGGTGCTGCCATGCCTCTGCCGGGTAGCGTTATATGAGGGTATAGGCATGCCCGTGTGTAGCAGCAGAGGTGTGGTGCCTCCTCGCTCTGCTCCTTGCTGCCCATGGGTCTGGCTGCTGTGCTGTGCTGTGCTGTTGTTGGGTAGGAAGGCAGGCAGGGAGACATGCAGTGCAGTGCTGGGCAGCAGCAGAGGGAACCTGAATGGCGCGTGGAACGCAATGGCTACTGCCAGGTGGGTGGGTGGGTGATTCACCATAGGCATGGCAGTGCGGAGCTGCTGCTGCTCAAGAGCACTGTACTGCCATGCCTACTGCTCGTTCCATTTCCCCCCCTGTTGCTTCTCACTTGCTTTGTTTGCTCTCCTTTCTCATCCCTCCTATCTGTCATCGCAACTGGTAGGCCCAATATTGAGAGGTGAATTCTCTTGTAGAAACGCCTCAAAACAATGCCTCACTCTATCTTTTCTCTCGTCACAAGCCCTAGGTACCGGCAGTGGGAGGTGGAATCATCGATGCGAAAGAGGAAGCAGCAGCAACTGAGGTGAGCGGGGAACACTTCTTTGAAACGCTTCTTTTGAACCTTTCCCTTCTCCGCTCCACTCCTGTTTCTGCTTGAGGGCTTTCTTAGGGGAGTTTTAGTCGAGGATCCGCAACGGTGGATTGTTGAGCTGCCTGGAAGAAACTCTTTCCTTGCACCTTCTCCTCTACGCTCGTGAATTTTTGGGCCCCTCAAAAATCACCTCAATGCCTCAGATATCACCTTGATCGTAGTTCCCCAAAAGTGGAGTATTGAGCTGCCTCAGAGAACCGTTTTCCTTGCACCTTCTCCTCTCCAAATGCGATTTTGCATCAGGGCTTTCCTCGGGGAACTGTTGAAGGAGCAGTTGCAAGCAGACTTGGCTGCAATCACAGGTGATGAGCGGTGATGAGTGGTGATGAGCGGTGATGACAGGGGATGATCGGTGATGAGGGGTGGTGAGAGAAGGGTAGAGGTGAGGTGGTGAGAATTGATGAGAGGAAATGAGATGTAATGGTGCTACTGGCGGTGGTGGTGATGATGATGTGTTGATGGTAGTGGTGGTGGTAGTGGTGGTGGTGGTGGTGGTGGTGGTGGTGGTGGTGATGATGATGATGATGATGATGATGATGATGATGATGATGATGATGATGATGATGATGATGATGATGATGATGATGATGATGATGATGATGATGATGATGATGATGATGATGATGATGATGATGATGATGATGATGATGATGATGATGATGATGATGATGATGATGGTGGTGGTGGTGGTGATGATGATGATGATGATGATGATGGTAATGATGATGATAGTGGTCTCCTCTCCCTTCCTCACTATTCTTCTCTCTTGCTCCCCATTATTTTCCCTCTCTCCCGTTATTCCCAGGTTCCAAAGCGCTTTCAATTCAGCAGAACGCCCTTCTTCAAATCCTCGATGCTTTACTGATAGAAAGCTTATTTTCACCACCGTGGGGCGTTCTACGCTCTCACTCCTCCTCTCCCCCTCTCTCCCTCTCGCACTCACTCCCCCTCTCCCTCTCTCCCATTCCCAGGTTCCAAACCTCTGCCGATCCATCAGGACGCCCTTCAAACCTAGAGGCGCTACTGAGGGAGGGCCCCTCTTCTTCCTCTTCCTCTTCCTTTATGAGGAGCCTCAATAATAGACTCTCACCCTCTCTCCCTGTCGCCCTCCCTCCCCCAGGTTCTAAACCTCTGCCAATCCACCAGGACGCCCTTCAAACCCTAGAGGCGCTACTGAGGGAGGACGCCTCTTCCTCTTCACCCTCCTCCACTCCTCCACAGTCACCCTCGTTACAGTCACAATCGTTAAGAAACGTCACGTCAGCAGCATCATCATCAGGCGCAGGAGGAGCAGGAGGGGCGGAGCAGGTGCCACTATCCCCTCAAATGCCAAGAGGGGGGTGCTTCTCCTCCCACGGGTCCGTGCCCCTTGCTCCACACACCAATGCCACCACCACCAGCAGCAGCAGCAGCAGCAGCATCATCAGGAGCAGGAGGGGCGGAGCAGGGGCCACTATCCCCTCAAATGCCAAGAGGAGGGTGCTTCTCCTCCCACGGGTTTCCAGGCAGCTGTTGCTGCCCCTCCGTGCCCCGAACACCCCACACCAGTGCCTCCGCTGCAGCAGCAGTAGCAGCAGCAGCGGCGGCGGGGGCAGCACAGACAGGAGCAGCAGTGGCTAGGGCGTCAGCATCAGCCTCAGCATCAGCTGTTCCAGCAAGAGTAGAAACAGAAGCAGCAGCAGCAGCAGCAGCAGCGGAGGCAGTTGAACCGAGGGAAGTGAATGCTGCTCCTCCTCCCGCGCCTCCTACTGCTACAGCTGCAACTCCAGCAGTCGAACCAGGAGAATCAGCAGCATTATCAGTAAGAGGAGAAGGAGCAGCAACAGCAGTAGCAGTCCCGGCTGGTGCAATGCCTGGTGGTGCAGGAACGGACAGATGTGAAATCGAGGGACAGATGTCATTTGCAAATGGCTCATCCATGAATGGTTCACAAGGAAATCAATCAGCAGGTATAGCAGCAGACGATGTAGGGCCAGCAATAGCAGCAGCAGCACAGTTACGGCCTGCAGAGAGGAGTGACTATAACGAGGACGGAGTGGACCAGCGCTGCAGGAGTGACTATATTGAAGGGGCTTGTACAGAAACCAGGTGTATTCAAGAAGGGAGGTGTGATTGTAGTCAAGGTGATTCAATTGAGGGTGAGTGCGCCCGATGCAGCACAGCAGCTGGCTCTGGTTCTGGGTTGACTCAGGGACGGTGTGACTACACCGAAGGTCAGGCCAGAGAGGCCAGACTCCTGTCAAGAGAGGGTGCCACATCAGCAGTAGGTGCCACGTCAGCAGACAATGCCACGTCAGCAGGTCCTCCAGCTGGGGATGCAGCAGAGGATGCTACAGCAGTGGGGGAGGCGGCCTCTCTGCTTCTCCAGTCGTACATTGAGAAAGCAGAGGCGCTGAGCAATGTGTTCAGTCTAGCACAGGCAGAGGACACGCCTGGCGAGGTATGGACCGTACAGTACTTGGCTTCGTCTCTGTTCCCTCTGCCTCTCTGCTGCTCCAGTCGTACATTGAGAAGGCAGAGGCGCTGAGCAACGTGTTTTCATTAGCACAAGCAGAAGACACTCCCGGCGAGGTATGGTACTTGGTTCTTTCTCTGCTCTCTCTGCTTCTATCTGCTGCTCCAGCCGTACAATGATTGACAAAGCAGAGGCGCTGAGCAATGTGTTTACATTAGCACAGGCAGAGGACACTCCTGGCGAGTTATGGTACTTGGCGTTTTCTCGGCTGTTGTTTTCTCTGCTACTCTGCTGCTCTCTCTGCCTCTCTGCTGCTCCAGTCGTACATTGAGAAAGCAGAGGCGCTGAGCAGCGTGTTCAGTCTAGCACAGGCAGAAGACACTCCTGGGGAGGTATGGACCCTAAGGTACTGGGGCTATTCTCTGTTCCCTCTGCCTCTCTGCCTCTCTGCTGCTCCAGTCGTACATTGAGAAAGCAGAGGCGCTGAGCAACGTGTTTACATTAGCACAAGCAGAAGACACTCCTGGCGAGGTATGGTACTTGGTTCTTTCTTTGCGCTCTCTGCGTCTCTGCTGCTCTCTGTGGTTCCCCAGCTAAGGATGCAGCAGAGGATGCTGCAGCAGTGGGGGAGGCGGCCTCTCTGCTGCTCCAGTCGTACATTGAGAAAGCAGAGGCGCTGAGCAACGTGTTCAATCTAGGACAGGCAGAGGATACCCCTGGAGAGGTATGGCCCCAATGGTACTTGGGCTATTCTCTGTTCCCTCTGCCTCTCTGGTTCTCTGCTGCTCCAGTCGTACATTGAGAAAGCAGACGCACTGAGCAACGTGTTCACTCTAGCACAGGCAGAAGACACTCCTGGCGAGGTATGGATCGTATAGTATCGGGATTTTCCCTGCTGTCTCTGCTCTCTCTGCTTCACTTTTCTGCCTCTCTGCTGCTCCAGTCGTACATTGAGGAAGCAGAGGCGCCGCTGAGCAACGTGTTCACTCTAGCACAGGCATGTACCAGGTATGGTACTTGGTTCTTTCTCTGCGCTCTCTGCGTCTCCGCTGCTCCAGTCGTACATTGAGAAAGCAGAGGCGCTGAGCAATTTGTTCCAGCTGGCGGAGGCAGAGGAGATTCTTGGAGAAGTATTGTGTTTGACTGTCTCAACTGGAACAACGTGTTTGACTGTCTCAACTGGAACAACGTGTTTGACTGTCTCAACTGGAACAACGTGTTTGACTGTCTCAGAGACGTCTCTCAGACATGTCCCGATCAGCCATGTCCTCTGACATGACTGGTCAAATCGCCATGCTCCATGTTTCCCATCTCTTCCCTCCTCCCCTCTTCCCCCCTTCCCCCCATCCTGCCACCCGCTACCATAGCACCTGTCATGTCGCATCATGCTCAACATTCTTTGCAATCCCTGTGCTTCCTGCTTCAAGCCTCTTATCTGACTGTGTTTTCTCCCCCCCCCCCCCTTCCCCTCCCCCCCACACGTCCCCACTCCCACCAGCTACCATAGCACCTAATCATGTCGCATCATGCTCGACATTCTCGATCCCTGTGCTTCCTTATTCAAGCCTCTTGCCTAAATGTGTTCACTTCCCCTCTATCCCCCCCATCCTCGCACCAGCTACCAGAGCACCTGTCATGTCGCATCATGCTTGACATTCTCCGCGATCCCGTGATTACACCGAGTGGAGTGACATACGAGCGATCAGCAATAGAGGAGCATCTTAAAGCGGTAAGAGTGTTACAAGAATGTGCTGAAGTATGAATAGCATTTGATTGATTACATGATAACAGTGAGCAGAGTGACGTACGAGAGATCAGCGATAGAGGAGCATCTCAAAGCGGTGAGAGAGAATAATGAATTGGTAAGAGCGGGTTTTGAGGCGCCTCAAAGTGGTGAAAGAGCATATCATAGCGGTAAGAGCTTGTTGAAGTGTGAGCGAATTTTGTCAATCAGGCCGACGTTTGAGAGAGGTCATACTGATTCGGGTCAAACTCTTGTCGTTCCTTTCTCTCCCTGATATAAAGTTTCTTTTGTTCTGTCATTTTTTTTCGTTTTTTGTTTTTTGTTTTGTTCTTGTTTTTGTTTTTGTTTTTGTTTTTTTTTTCAGGGCAACTTGTTTGACCCAGTAACCAGGAGGCCACTTTTGTCTCAGCATCTCATTCCTAACCGAGGGGCAAGGGATGCTGCTGAACATTTCTTGCACTCCCATGGATGGGCCTATCGGCCTTCAAAATAACCTAGTAAACACGATTGTTTTTACATGTCATGCATGCTTTGGTCATACGAACCCCTGAAACGGCTAGATCCAGAAATTCAAGAGCAAACAAAATGATGCTTTATTTTGGAATGAAGCTAGCTCGAGTTGTTACCTATTAGTGTTTTCTGCTGCTTATTATCGAGTACACGCACACATTGGCGTAACGTGGTTTTCAAAACTTTTCGATGCATTAACGTGGTCATTCTCAGTGAAGCGCTGGCCACTCATTCACACCGATGAGGACGTGGTACATTCCCAACCGAGCTCAAATGAGCCCCGTCGAGCCTCCGTCATGTTCGCACCCATTCGTATCTGGATTGACAAAGCGCACGATGTCGAGAAGTTGAGGTTACTTGTTCGTTTGCAAACCTCCATACGAGGTTACTGGCAAACGGATCGAGCCTTCGCTCTCGCACGAGAGGCATGCCGAAAACCGGGTTACCACAGTAAACAATTCATCTCCCTGCTAGATCGATTTTGGAACCGAGTCATGGCCAAATGTACCACGGCTTTACGAAATTCGACAACACAGCTCCAGCAATATGAGCTTTCTTGCCAACGGAGACTTCAAAACTCCGAGTGACATTCCTATCTTGCTTTGTGTGCTCCGCACCGCACACCCCTATTCTTGCTTTCCGAGCTTTTCATTACGCTCAGCCTCGTCCCTCTTCATCACCTTTTCTTTGTTTTCTTTCCCTGCCGCCACCACTATTCTCTCGCACGCGTTCTTGCCTGGTCCCTCTCATATGCGATCCTCCCGTCTTGGACCATCATGGCTGCTAAAACCGAAGATTCAGCGGCAACGGATAAGCTAGAAGCTGGCGATAAGGCTACTAATACTGTTTACGCGGCGACTACTATTGAGGATACGATGATTCGCTTAGCTCCGCAAGATGCGGTAATGGGTCAATTCTGGTTCACCATACTTTACATTTTCCCGCCTCCCGAACCTCCAAAAACCCGCGATTTTCCGCCCCCCGAGCCTCGGAGAGTTAACAGCCGAAAGTCTGCTGAACATGCACCTCTTTCCAAACCAGATAGGCCTTCCGAACCTATTTATGCTGAGCCTGTAATGTCTTCTGAGGCACATAATATGCTCGCCGAGTCAACCGAGAAGTTGACGAATGAACCGTACGATTTAGACCGACTTCGCTCGTCATTCGTCGATCTAATCGAGCAAGATTACCCGATAATGCTGGGCAGGTTGCACGTTGATCCTGTAACGGGCGTCACGAGCGTGCTACAAACGAGGGAATGCCTCGCTGCTGGCGCGAAAACAATCAGATTCGCTCAAATTCCAAAAACATTCCCATCAGAGTCCGAACCAGGAAATCTGTTCCCCTCTCTCACAACCACCGAAGCCATGGCCTCCCTCCCAATGTCGCTAATGCCGGAGCGCGATAAGACAGAGTTAATCTCCATCAAGGCTACTATTTTAGCGGATGGCGGGATGGCGATCGGAGTGAATGTTAGTCACTGCCTGGTGGACGGAGAGGGTATGTTCAGATTCATGAAGATGTGGGGGATGCGGTACAGAGGGGTGAGGAGTGGTGCAGAGCAGCAGCCTGTGATTTGTCATGACAGGTCGCTGCTGTTTGGGACGGGAGTTGGGTCCAAGCTGCCCCATCCAGAACTCAGGATTGTCGAAACTTCTGCAAAACCCGCACACACAGCAGCAGCTGCATCCGAAACAGCAGCAGCAGCAACAGCAACAGCAACAGCAGCGCCAGAGCCAGCCGCAGCTGTGGCAGCAAAACGTGTCTTTCCTGCAACCTCGCATTCAATCTTCCACCTCTCCCCCGACCAGCTCAAAACACTCAAATCTGTTGCATCTGGACCGTTGGATGACCCTTTTGCATCAGAGCCATCGGATTCCAAACCAAAAATCCATCCAGTGGATCACGACCCTCAAGGATTCTCATACGTCAGCACTATTGACTCTGTGTCAGCACTCATGCTCCTGCTAATCTCGCAAGCCCGAGACCATAATAAAGACGTCCGTTTTACCACTGGCGTGAACGCCAGGAGGAGATTAACCCCTCCGCTGCCCGAAAATTACTGCGGAAATGTAGTTTTCAATGCCTTATCTTGTTATTCTGCTTCGGAAACCAGGGAGACAACAGTTGCTACACTGCGCCTTGTTGCGAGGAGAATCCGGCGATCCATTATAAGCTGCTCTGATTCCTACATGCGCGACGCCATAGAATTCGTCACAGAGCAACGAAACCTCTCAACTGTGCGAGTTGGGACGAGGTTTTTCTTCGGGAATGACATCATGCTGACGTCATGGGTGAATCAGGGCATGTATGATGCGGATTTCGGCACCCGGCCGTGGTATGTGGGGTTGCCGAGACTCCCATGCAATGATGGCATGGTTGTGGTGATGGAAGGGATTGGGGGAGCAGAGGGGTTGGATGTGCTGCTGCTGCTGGAGGCTGCAGCAACGAAGCGGTTCAAGAAGTTATGGGGTGAGGTTCCGTTCTGGCAGTGATATAGCAAGAGGTATGACCCTACACTGTGGTTCATGCGGGTGGGGGGAGCAGAGGGGCAAGACGTGCTGCTGCTGCTGGAGGCTGCAGCAACGGAACGCTTCAAGAAGTTATGGGGTGAGGTTCCGTTTTGGCAGTGATAGCTGAAGACTGGTATCGTATGAATGATCTCATGAGGTATGTGGGGGTGCCGAGGGTCCCATGCAATGATGGCATGGCGGTGGTGATGGAAGGGGTTGGGGGAGCAGAGGGGGTTGGGGAGCAGAGGGGGTTGGGGGAGCAGAGGGGGATGGGGGAGCAGAGGGGGATGGGCCAGCAGAGAGGCTAGACTTGTTGCTGCTGCTGGAGGCTGCAGCATCGGAGTGGTTCAAGAGGCTATAGAATGAGGTTCCGTTCTGGTAGTGATGTAGCAAAGGAGTCTGGTGTATACACATACGACTTGCTGCTGCTGCTCTGCAGGCTGCAGCGTTGGAGTGGTTCATTAGGCTATAGAATGAGGTTCCGTTTTGGCATTAATATAGCAAGAGTCTGGTCTGGTGAGTGTATATAGGCTTGTATAGCAAAAAAGTCTGCTCTGCAGACCTGGGCAGCGTTGATACACTACTACTGTGTCAGGTTGGGTACACTTTATTTTCCATGTTTTTGTGCATATAAAACTTTCTAAATCAAAGGCTGTCACACATGGAGAATGGTTTGAGGCAAAACGAATATATGCTTTATACAAACAGTTAACTAGTTGTAATATGCATCAATACCAGAACTCAACTGGTGCTGAGCTGTGAACGCCACCACAGGCTTCTGATTAATTTTCCATGCCATCCAAACGTTTTCGTTAAAAAGGCATGTTGCGTCTTGTTGCATCTAAAAGTCTCGTTGTAGATGCCGCTGCTGCTGCAGAGGTGGTGTTGATGCTGGTGTGACTGTTGCTGCAGATAGGGTTGGTGCTGTTGGTGCCGCTGGTGCTGGTGCTGATGCTGAATCCTGATGCTGGTGGCACTGCTACTGCCATTTCCATGGTGATATCAGCAGTGGTGCCAACCCTGCAAGGACTGGTTTCTGGAGCGGACACGTGGTGAGGGGGAATGGGAGAAAGTGAGAGGGAGGGAGTAAAAGTGCATCAGTATGTACATTAGTAACAGTAATCCAGGGGTAGGGTAAGACACATGAGATGAAGCGCTCGTGCTGCACCCACCCACCCACCCACCCACACACACACACACACATGGACACACACGGACATGCCCGCGCCCACGCCCGCGCACGCACCCACGCACACGCGCTTGCATTCGCACACGCATACAGACACACGCGCACACAAAACAACAAACACTCACTTACCCGAAATTGAAACTGCGTCATTCCACCAAACACCGACTCCTCTATATTTGCAGCTGCAGCAGCGAAAAGATCGGGCTTTCAAACGTCACAATACTTGACAGAGCAGGGGGCACGTGAAAGTGCCCACATTCCCCCACCACAAATTCCTCCAGCCCAAAAAGCTGCCCACAGGTTCCGGGCAGACTGCTGAGCATTGGGCACTGAATGATCCGCAGGACCCGAAGATTTGAAAGCTGCCCGAACGATGATGGAATGTACCAGAGCTTCTCGCAGCTCTCCATCTCAAGCTCCCGGAGAGATCTCAGCCGTCCAAATGAGTTTGGGAGAGATTTGATGCCCGGGGCTGACAGGAAAACCTTTTCTAGCTTCTGCAGATCGCCTATACACTCGGGCAGTGACTCAAAACTTTCAAAAACGTCCAGGTGCAGGGTGCGGAGGGATTTTAGCCGCCCGAAGAACTTGGGCAGGGCAGCAAAATTAGCACAGCGGGAAATGGTGAGGGTCTCTAGGGAGGAAAGGGCGGTTGTTGAAGTGGGCAGCCCGGAAATAGATTGGCAGGAGTGAAGTTTGAGGTGTGTGAGTTGCGGCAAGCTGCCCAAGGTTTCGGGCAGGTGGTTCAAAGTGCCGCAGCAAGAGAGTGTAAGGCTGGTCAGGGAAGAAAGAGAATGGATGGCTACGGGCAGCTCTGAAAGAACCATGCATTCGAGCTCCAGGCTAGTCAGAGAAGTTAGCAGAGTCATTGAGTCGGGCAGGGAAGAAAGTTCCATTGACCGGATGCGCACTGAACTGAGTGAACCACCCAGTGGGCCAAAAACGTCGGGCAGGTGAGAAAGTTTGTCGCTAGCAATGGTCAGCTCAGAAAGTTCTGTCAGGCTGCCCAGTGTTTCGGGCATGCTTTCAAGGTTGGAATCATCCCAGAATCCGTTCTCCCATTTTCCAACCTTGAGTAGCTTAAGTTTTTTCGCCTGCCCGACTTCTGCCGGGATCGCCACTGGCGAGCGGTTTAAGCTCTCAAAAGTGAACACCTCCAGCTTCGGGCAGCCGCGAAAAATCGCCTTCAGCCCAGCTTCTCCGAACGTGGCCCCATAGCCTTGGTGCCCTATCCGAAGCTCCTTCAGGTTCGGGCAGTACTTAGAAACTGTTTCCAGAATAGGATCGGAAGTCCAAGCCAAGGAGTTATCAGGAAAGGTGAGGGAAGCTAGGTTCGGGAAGTTGAGGAGGGAGAGGAGGATTCGGCAGCGCCGGTCCTGCTCGAATGTGATTGAAACGAGGGCTTCATAAGCCAGGCGGCGCCAGTGGCGGCAGACGAGCGCGTGGGCAAAATTGCCACGCCTTCCTGGAAGGCGCCGGAAGACGTTGATGATGACGTCATCATCTAGATCGGAAAAGCTAGTTTCTTGAGTCGGCATGTTGGGCATGTCGGCATGGGGAGCGTCATTGAGATTGGGAATGGAGGTCGGCATGTCTGGGTCAGAGCTGCTCGTTACTGCGGCAATGGCTTGTAGAGGAGGCATCTTGCATTGGAGAATCATAGAAATTGCCTTGGATCATGCAGGTTAGGATGCCTTGAAGAATGAACTTCGCAGTATTTGCGAATGGAGGGGAGCATCTGGAGAGGGGAGAGGGCGGACGGGGAGAAGGTGGGGGGAAAGGGGGATGGGTGTGGATGGAGTGGGGGTGAAGCAGAAAGAAGAACGCGTTTCAGAGTTGTCGGGAATTACTTAAACTAGTGAATTGGGTTGCCTTCACGAGTGGATTAAAGAGTTGTCTTGAGGGGGGGGGGGGAGCATCTGGAAGCGGGGAGAGAGTGGATGGGGGAGAGGTAAGGGGTGGAGGTAGTACGGAAAAGGCAAGAGATGATATGAACGACTTGAAATTATGCTACTAATTACTGTTTGAACTGCGATGATAGTTTCCGAAGAAAAAATAAATGAATAAATACTCAAAATCAAGAGTGGGCTTCACAGTTGTTGTGAGTGGAAGGGAGCATCTCGAAACGGGGAGAGGAGGAAAGGAATGAAGAGAGAGGGGACGGGGAGGAGGGGAAAGGTAGGGGGAATGGCAGAGGGAAGGTTCATTTTGGAATCGACAATCGTGACTCTGTTTAAGAAAATTGGTCGCCTTAAAGAGCGGGCTCCACAACCGTCGCGAATGGAGGGGATAATTTAAAAGGGGAGCGTGAAAGAAGGGGAAGAGGAGGGGGGGGGGGGAGGAAGGGGGGGAAGGAGGGTAATCTGGGAGTGGGAAGAGTATGAATGAGTAGGACATATAATTCAGCCCAACAAATCTATGGTTCCCAACAATCAAGAAGGTTGTGTTCGGGTATGAAAATTGTACAAAACAAAACAGGAAAGCCAGAGGAAAAGATCGTCCTGATAAAACCCCAAGTCACTACTGAGTGCATTCATTCAGAAAAATAAACGCAAGAAAAAAGACGTCCAAAAAGTAATAAAATACTCTCAAACCGGCAGGGGAAGGACGAAGTAAGAAGTTAACAAACTATAGCAGTAGTACTGGAATAACCTAGAATTCTAAAATCAAGCTCTTCTACATACCTCGTTACGTCGTCATTTACAAGCGCTACTTTTTTTCCTTCTGACTCTTCCTTTCACCCTTGCCTCTCTGCTGCGGAAACAATCTTCTCGCCAACGTCGCGTTCGCTAAGATAAAAGCCTTGCTTCTCGCCACGACTGTTCCTGAAGCCGCTCCTTCCTCTCACTGAGTCATAGTACTATGCTAGCCGAATGCGCCTATGTAACAAAATGTCTGCAATTTCATGACAATCCTGGAGTTCAATGAATGTTGATGCTTTAAAGACGATGTACCTACTTCGACAACAAAAATGCTCCTACTTCGTGAAAAAAGGTTCCCACCGACTCTGTCTGGCAAAGGTACACAAGGCCACTAAATGCGTTGTGCAAGCCTAGTGAACTACTGAAGTGACTGCTGTAACTGGCGACATCTAAGGTACTGAAAGTAGTCTGTGAACTTGTAAAAGGCCATTGACCATTGTTCACCGCATTCGAACATATCGAACCGTTTTTGGACGATCAACAGGGGAAGGTGTAGTGTAGCCTGACCCCCCTCTGACCTCGACGATGCTCGCAAGTGTTTCGCTTGGTTAAATTCGCACAGCTGTGCTTTACGTGACCCCCCCGCTTTGCTTTGCTGCAGGAAGTCGGTTGGGGTCCACTGGAAACCGCGTTACATGTCAGGGTAATCAGCGACGACTTGCTTTCTCGGCGAAGTGTATGCATCGATTGACGAAACAACGGTTGCTGCTACCCACCAACCAGCCAGCCTTAAGTTATCCGCGATAGTGGCAGTTCTCGTGAGACCTGGCAAGTAGAAGAAAGCACGAGGAACTGGAAAAAGAATACATCTTCAATATCAAGGTGACAGCTCTCCCATATGCTCCACAACAAAGCGGCATGTATGATCTGATGCGGGATCAGCCACGAGAGTCCCATTACCCAGCATGCCCGCAAACAACGCAAATGTGCTAATGTATCGTGTGAAGCTCGCCAAAACCGCTGCTTTGCCTAGAAGGACAAAATCGGCCAATGTGGCCAGATGACTCCCGCCCGTTTTTGACAAGTGAACTGCAGGCGAAACCGAAAAGTACACCTCGCCAAAAGGCCGTAAAATCTCCACCACTTGCGATCGAAGAATATCAGTATCTGTAGCCACAAATATCCTCAGGTGGCCTAGATGAGAGGCTGACGGCCCGCCAGGTGGCACAATCGAGGCCACAAGATTTGAATCTTCAACCGTCCATTCCTGCAACCACCTCCTCTGCTGAAGCTTTCTCATCTTCTTCAACCTCCTTTGCCGCCGCGAATATTGTAGCCGGCGGCGCTTCGTACTCGAAGCTGCTAATAAAGAGGATGTGGCGGTGGTATCATTAGGATGAGGCGAAGGCGAAGGAGCAGCAGCAGACGGAGGCGATGATTCTGAATGTGGGGATGGGGCGGAGGGTAGGGCGGAAGGAGATGGAGAAGCGGCACTGGGGGGTGCAGCAAGGGATGCAGGGGCTGATGGTGAATGGTTTGGCGATGGCGATAGTGAAAGCACGGGTGATACAGGCGATGGCGAAGCAGGGGCTGGCACGGTGGCTGTAGCTTTGGAAGAGGCTGTTACATTGGGAGTGGTTGCAATGACTGCTATGCTGGCACTCGCATTCGCTGGAGGAGTAGCTTTGATCAGCGGAAGATTGGCTGAGCCTTTGCTTGGTGCCTGTGCTGTACCTTCACTTGTGTTGCTCGCAGCTGTAGGATCAACATTCCCGTCAGTGTCCGCTGTAGCGCTGGCAAGCCAGGCAGCAGCGGCGGCTGTAGCGTTGGGGAAGCCGCCCGCAGCAGCCTTCTTGACGCGCAGGAACTGCGCCAGCCTGGCGATGCAGCGCCAGCGGTTGGGCTTCATCAGGTTGTGCGCTCGGGAGACCTCCGCCTGCTGTGCTCGCTCCTGGCACTTGGTGTCCTTATCGGCACAATGATCGCCCTCCACGTTGCTGGTTGAGGGGGAAGGAGATGGAATGAGAGGAGCAAGAATGACGGGACGAACCAAGAAGGGAGGAGAGGGAAAAGCCACTGGCGGCTGCCTTCTTAACGCGCAGGAACTGCGCCAGCCTGGCGATGCAGCGCCACCGGTTGGGCTTCATCAGGTTGTGCGCTCGAGAGACCTCTGCCTGCTGCGCTCTCTCCTGGCATTTGACGTCCTTGTCCCCGCAGTGATCGCCCTCCACGTTGCTGGAAGGTCGGGGGAAAGAGGGGCAGAGAGGCAGACCAAAAGGTTGGGTTTCATGAGGTTGTGTGCTCGGGAGACCTCCGCCTGCTGGGCTCTCTCCTGGCACTGCGTGTCCTTGTCCTTGCAGTGATCGCCCTCCACGTTGCTGGTCGGGGGGGGGAGGGTGGAGGAAAGAGGCAACGGTTGGGCTTCATCAAGTCGCCCTCCACGTGGCTGGTCGGGGGAGAGGAACATAAAGAAGTGATTGAGTGGCAGCACAGATCACGGCCCACACCTCCACCTGCTGGGATCGCTCCTGGCACTTGACGTCCCTGTCCCCACAGTGATCGCCCTCCACGTGGCTGGTCGGGGGAGAGTGCGGCAGGAACGTGGATATGAATCACAACCCCACCTACCTGCCGCGCTCTTTGCCTGCCACCGCGTGTCCGTGCGAGCGAGCACAGTGAACGTGCGAGCGAGATGACTTGTGAGAACCGTGTGCCATTGTAACGAGGTGACTTTCGAGTCGACTCAAAAGTCACCTCGTTACAATGGCACGCTCTCGCCTGCCACCGCGTGTCCGTGTGAGCACAGTGAACGAGCGAGCGAGATGACTTGTGAGAATCGGGAGGTCTAACTGCAGCTTCAGGACCTCCCCTGTCACCAACCATGCGCAACCAACCATGCGAATACATACCACACCACACACAACCGTAGATCCTGAAAACACCCGAGGGAACAATCCCTTCCAGCTGAACTCACACCGAATGCCCACGGATGTGAATTGACAAGTCGAACTGCAGCCTCAGCCCCTCCCCTTTCGCAACCATCTGTGGCTCAACCTTCCCTCCCTTCGCCTCCCCCTCCTCCATCCCCATCCCTCCCCCTCGGAACACCAGCGGCGGCACCACTCTCAAGTCCCTATCGACCACCTCTTGCACCCCCGGCTTGGGCCCCTTGCCGAGGAGGAGGGAGAGCACTTGGGACTGGATGCACCAGAGGGAGCGGCAGCCGAATGCGTCGTGCACGCACTGGTTGATTTGAGAGTCCTTGCGCCAGAAGGCATCAAAGAACGCTCCTGGTGGGGATGGGCAAGGAAAGGTGGAGAGGATGAGGGAGAGTAAGTGGGAGGAGAAGCAGGGAGAGCACTTGGGATTGGATGCACCAGAGGGAACGGCAGCCGAAGGCGTCGTGAACGCACTGGTTGATTTGAGGGTCTTTTCGCCAAAAGGCATCGAAGAATGCACCTGGTGGGGACGAGCACGCAAGGGGGTGGAGGGGAGCATATGGGTGAGAGTGGGAAGCAGTCGAATGCGTCGTGCACACACTGGTTGATCTGCGGATCCTTTCGCCAAAAGGCATCGAAGAACGCGCCTGGTGGGAGGAGGGGTATGGGGAGTGATAGAGAGAAAGAGAGCACTTGCGACTGGATGCACCAGAGGGAGGTGCAGCCGAAGGCGTCGTGAACGCACTGGTTGATCTGAGGGTCTTTTCGCCAAAAGGCGTCAAAGAACGCTCCTGGTGGGCAAGAATGGGGTAGAGAGGAAGACGGAGAATAAGGGGGAGAAAGAGGAACGAAAGCACAGTGGATGCACCAAAGGCAGCGGCCGCGTAAGGTGTTGTGCACGCATCTGGGGGGAGAGGGGGGAGGGAAGGGTGGGGGGGAGAGGGAGGAGTGGGGGGGAGAGGGAGGGTGGGGGGAGAGGGGAGGGTGTAAGGGGGAGGAGGAGAGAGAGCACTTGGGACTGGATGCAGCAGAGGGAGACAGAGAATAAGGGAGGGAAGGAGGAACGAAAGCGCAGTGGATGCACCAAAAGGAACGGGCGTTGTGCACGCATCTGGGGGGAGAGGGAAGGGGAGGGAGAGGGGGAAGGGAGAGGGGGGAGGGAGAAGGGGGAGGGTGTGTAAGGGGGAGGAGGAGGAGGAGAGAGAGCACTTGGAACTGGATGCAGCAGAGGGAGACAGAGAATAAGGGAGGGAAGGAGGAACGAGCACTTGGAACTGGACGCAGCAGAGGGAGACAGAGAATAAGGGAGGGAAGGAGGAACGAGCACTTGGAACTGGACGCAGCAGAGGGAGACAGAGAATAAGGGAGGGAAGGAGGAACGAGCACTTGGAACTGGACGCAGCAGAGGGAGACAGAGAATAAGGGAGGGAAGGAGGAACGAGCACTTGGAACTGGACGCAGCAGAGGGATTGGCAGCGGAAGGCATCGGGTGTATGCATCGGTCGATCAGGGAATCCTGGTGCCAAAAGGTGCCTAAGAATGCACTTGGTGGGGGCGAGCAAGGGAGGAGAGGGGAGTGTCGAAGTGGAAGGTTCCTGCACTCACCTGCACTTGCATACACTCAGATACGCCAATGGAACAAGGGGCATACCCGAGTCGACAGCCATGAAAGGGGAGCAGTTGAGCCCAATGGATCAATCAATCAAGTTCCCCCGCGGTTCATTCCTTAAAGCCCACATACCCAAGCTTGAAACAAATAGCATACCCGAGTTGACAGCCATGACAGGGGAGTACCCGAGTTGACAGCCATGACAGGGGAGCAGTAGTTGAGCCCGTGAACCACAAGCTCCCTCCTTCAATGCACATGTCCCCTCTATAAAGAACCTCCATACAACCTCTATCCGCTCTATAACAAGGGCATACCCGAGTTGACAGCCATGACAGGGGAGTAGTAGTTAAGCCCGTGAACCACAAGCTCCCGCCCCTCCATGAGCTTTGTGTGCTTGCGCATATCCCCTCTATAGTGCAACTCGTCTAGCCCACAGTAGAACGCGTCGCACAGGCGCTCCAGGACCTGAGATGAGAAGTGGGGAGAGGGGAACGAGAGTATGCAAGGGAAGGAGATGCAATGCAGACATGGTAAGATCATTTGATGCACCGGAGCTCTGCTGCTGATGCTCATGAAAAGCAGAAGGTGCGGGAGAGGGGGAGCGGGGAAGGAAACGTGGGGGGTCGCAAGGGGGAAGGGAAGGGAAGGGAATTTCGCAACAAGGTCCTAGGGGAGGGGCTAGGGGGGGTTCTTTCCAGCCCAAAATCCAGCACCTGAAACCTCACACCCAATGTCACACACCCGAAACCCTACACCAACCCCCAAACACCAACGACCGTATACCCGAAAACCCCCAAAGCAACCCTCACCTTCCTGTGCGCCCCACCGTGCCACCGCAGGAACCTCCTTCCCGACAGCAAAGCATAGATGAATGCCGAGGTGTAACCCCTCAGCGAGTTGCCCAGCCCAAAGCGCGGCGCCCAGATGAGCCAGCGCTCCCTCGTCATATCACCGTGAAGCGCCTGAGAGACGGGCAGCTGCGTCTCCTTTCCCACCCCGGCCCACGCGATCAGGAGGTCCAGCGGGATTGGCTCGTGCTTCTCCTGGTGGCGCCGCACGTTGCCGAGGGTCTTGAGTTCCGATTCGTTGGCGTCGCGGCCGTGAATGGGCAGGCTGGTGTAGGCTGCCGGGGGGAGAATGCCCTTGCATGAAGGGGTGTTCTGCGGAAGAAGGCGGGATAGGAGGGAGGTGAGGGAGGGGAGAATGAGGGAGAGTAATCCTTTATAGCGATGCTCACACAACCCGGAGGTCCAGCGGGACCGGCTCGTGCTTCTCCTGGTGGCGTCGCACGTTGCCAAGGGTTTTGAGTTCGGTTTCGTTGGCGTCGCGGCCGTGAATGGGCAGGCTGGTGTAGGCTGGCGGGGGGAGGATGCCCTTGCATGAAGGGGTGTTCTGTGCGGGAAAGGAGGAATCAGAGGGAGGGGAGGGGGAAAAGGAAGAGGAGGGAGGGGAGGGTAGGGAAGGAAGGTGAGGGAGAATGTATCGTATTTGCAGTGGTCACCAGATGGTCCATCAGATAGTCCATGGGATGGGCTTGCACTTCTCTTGGTGTCGCCGCACGTGGCTATGCATGGGAGGGCGTTGAGGGGCAGGAGGTCTATTGAGTCGGCCCTAAACTTCACGTGAGGTATGGGGAGGTTGGAGTAAGCTGGCGCGGGGAGGATGCCTGCACATGACATGAGCGGGTGCGATGCATAATACATGGGAGGAAGAGGAGGGCGGGAGGGCTATTGTGGCTTGAGGCGCGGGGAGTTCTTTTGAGGCGCCCCAAAAGGCGCGGGGAGTTCTTTTGAGGCGCCCCAAAAGGCGCGGGAGGGAAGGATGCCTTCACATGACATGAGCAGGTGCTATGCATAATGCATGGGAGGGAGAGGAGGGCGGAAGGGCTATTGTGGCTTGAACTGTGACGGAGGGTGGGGAGGAGGGGAGTGAGGGACAGGTTCCACACGAGTTGTGACCCGGATTAGCTCAGCAGCTGTAGGTTGGTGGGAGGAAGGCCCAGGATGTTCAGAGGGAGCGAGTCTGTTGAGAGGAGGGAGGGAGTAGAGGGGAGGGCTATTGAGTCGACCCTAAACGTCATGTCGAGAATGGGGAGGTGTAGGCTGGCGCGAAGAGGATGCCTTCACATGACATGAGCAGGTGCTCTGGAAAGGAGCAAGGTTTCGGGCTTGATCTGTGAAGGAGCGTGGGGAGGAGGGGAGTGAGGAACAGATTCCATATGGATTGTGACCCGGATCAGTTCAGCAGCTGTAGGTGAAGACGTGATAAAAGAGATGTTTTGAGACGTCTCAAAACATCTCTTTTATCACGAGGGACAGGCTCCATACGAGTTGTGACCCGGATCAGTTCAACTTGTAGGTTGGTGGGGATAAGGCCCAGGATGTTCAGAGGGAGCGAGAATGTTGAGGTTGCGGGTGAGAGAAGGGGGTTCGGGGTTTGAACTGTGACGGAGGAGCAATGGGAGTAAAGGACAGGATTCGTAAGAGTTGAGCCCCCGATTGATCCAGCTGCTATAGGCTGATGGGATGGGGGGCACTTGCAGAAAGAGGGAAGTGAGAGGGGGGGAGTGAGAGAGAGAGGGGAGGGGTGTTCACAGGGAGCAGGATAGTGGAGAATGAGAGAGGGGGTTGAGGTGAGGGGCCAGAGCTCGTGAGCGTCACAATTAGTGTTACTCAAGAGCGATGACTCGCATCAGAGAGAGTGAACTAGCCACAGGAGAATAAAAAAGGGCCGGTGATGGCTCAACAACACTGCCTTTGCTAAGCATCTTACTTATCCTCACTTACATCAAGCTAAGCATCAAGCAGGATGTCGAACTGGGCACCACGCTTGAGCATGCCCTGCCAGTGCCAGTGGCGCTCCACGGTAACTCGACATCCTCTACGCTGCATATTTAAGTGCTGCTCTGCCAGTGCTGCTCTGCCAGTGCTGCTCTGCCAGTGCTGCTCTGCCAGTGCTGAATTTGTTTTTTGAGAGTTCTCAAAAAGCAGATTCAGCATACAATTCCACTTGAGCATGCCCTGCCAGTGCCAGTGATGCTCCACGGCCACTCCACATCCTCTCCACTGCCAGTGTGGATCCTGGTGCTTCTCAGTCAGTCAGCAGCGGCATTTCCCTGGCTAAACACAGCACTTAACTAAGCGCTCACCACGATGTCATATCGAGCTTCCCGCATGAACATGCTGCACCAGCTGTCGTGGTGCTGCTGAGTCAGAACCAGCAGCAGCATCAGCATTTCACTGGCTGAACACTCCACTTAACTAAGCGCTCACCACGATGTCATATCGAGCTTCCCGCATGAACATGCCGCGCCAGCTGTCGCCCAGCCGCGCCACGGGCCACTGCCATTGGTAGCTGTCGTGGTGCTGAGTCAGCATCTCCTCCTCGTCCCCCACCTCGTTCCGCCACCGAAACGCTGACTCTCCCTTCTCCTGCGGCCCCGCCACCCACCCATCCACCAGCCTCCTCCTCCTCTGCCCTCTCCTGCTTGCCTTTTCGATCAGTGTTCGCTCAGTCTCCTCCTCGTTTCGCCACCGAAACGCCGACTCTCCCTTCTCCTGAGGCCCACCCACCCACCCATCCACCAGCCTCCTTCTCCTTCCCCTGCTTCGCTTCTCAATCAACGTTTTATCAGTATTTTCTGGCAGCCCTGCCATCCATCCGTCCACCAGCCTTCGTCTCCCTGTCCTCCCGCCTCGTCTGACCCCCTTGGGAACTCCACTCATTCCTATCCTCTTTCCACTCTCTCCTTTCACTTCCCTCACCGCCCTCGCTCCACTGTTCTTCCCCTCTTTCCGCTTGCTAGCTCTACTACCCCCCGTGCTCTCTCTCGCCCTGGGGTTGGTACCCTCATGCCCTTCCCTTTGAAAACTCCCTTCTCTCCCTTCTCCCTTCCATTCATCAATCTCCCTAAAGAGAGACTCGATAATATCTTCCTCGTCCTCTTCTCCTGACTCTTCTGCCTCCCCCTCCTCCTCTCGCTCCCATTCTTCCTCCTCCTCATCACCTTTCTCCTCGCTCTCTCCTCCCTCATCACCACTCATTTCAAGCTCCTCCCTCTCCTCCTTACTCTCCAACTCCTCTCCATTCTCCAAACCTCTCGCTTCCCCCGCACTCAACCCAACACCCCCACGATGTTTAGCAAAATCCTTTTCCCCACCATCACCATTCCGCAGATCCTCGCCGTCCATCTGACCCAGCCATGGTCCCTCGGGTTCATCTCCGCCGTCCATCTCTCCGAGCCTCAATCCCTCCTGATGCCTGTTGTCTAGAGCCGTTTCGGATAGCCCATTCCCCAACCCTCTCCCCTTCTCGAACATTACCTTCCCCCCGTTTTCAGTCACATCGTTCCAGTCACACCCCTCCCATTCCTCGCACGGCAGAATCAACTCCAAAAGCGGGTCGCGAGTTACCGACAGTCTACTCCGAGCACTGATTGACGGCCAGTAACTACCAGTTGTCGGCCGGTAACTACCTGCCGGACTACTACTGCTCAGCGGCTGGTATGTTCCAGCGAGGATTGTGGTCGGCGTCCAATCGCTACCGCTGACTAATCTTGGCCGTCTGCTTCCACTAACGGCGGCTGGTAACTCCGTCTCTTGAGCGCTAGTAGCTGCGTCAGTCAGAACTTGACGGCCGTCATTCGATCTCGAGAATGATGGATGGTCTGGTGATGCTGTGACCGATAAAAGCGGGCTCACAAAAAGCAAGAACACGATCACATGACTACGACTGATAATAACGCGGGCCGCGGGCTTCTTGCAAGCTGCGGCCGCCATGGCGAATGATAAGCGAGGGAACAACAATGCTTCCGTAACACATGAAGCGCGTCCTAAACCAATGCTCTTAATAAATGTGCTCCAGGCAGCGAAAAGACACAGTCGTACGACGCTGCGGAAACTCTACCAAGCGCGGCATTATCCGAAAACAGCAAGTGCTGAATTAGGACGACTGTGCAACGACAGGTTTTGTTGCAAGCCTTGAGATAATGTGTAGGAGCAGCTGGTGTTAGGGCCTCAAACATCAGTGGCCGGCATCGGCAGCCGCTGCTAGGGAATGTGCCTGATGAATACCGTCCGATAATCGACGAACATAGTAAAATCCGACATCAAGAAATGTGATAGGGCGTGTTTTGCGACAGAATCAGATGAACAGCACAGTCAAGGAATCCTCAAGTTCCGTATGGATCTCGTCGAAGCATTGGGGGAATCGAGCTAGTTGCGTTTTCTGACCGCTCTGGCAAACACGAACCGGACTACACTTAGTGTGGTTCTGATTGGTTGTTTTCGCTAAGTGCCACGCTCACTAGCCCATTACAAAGGTTGGCCAACATTTCCCAAAGCCATTTGTGCCCGCACCCAAATTTCATGTCAGGTGGTTTGGACCCGCTTCGAATCAATGGAGTCGTAAAAGGAACGACACTTTGTTGCAACTGCTGGACCTCGTGTCACCACCCCTGTCACATGCTCCCCTGCCACACCACGTGATCAGGCCTGGCAGGCAGGCCCTTCTTTCTGACCTCTCTCTTCCCAACAACCACTGAATGCCACTTTCGGTCGAACGGTTGAGCACGGCTGTGTGTGCTTTCGAGCGGTTCGCAAGCCAAGCCCATGTACCTTTCGCAATGTCCAGCATGATACGCTCTCACGACCCTTTCAACTCCTCTACTTCTGAACTGAAACCACAGAAGTGCCTGAATTCACCAGCCCTTTTGCAGAACCCGAACCCTCAACCCCTTCAAAGCCCTAACTCCACCCCACGAGGTCTCAGACCACCATTTTGCGGCTCTGGAGCGTGTGTAACTGTCACTTGCTACTGAAAGGAGAACAAAACCGTTAGAAACCTCTCTGTCAGCAACGTGAAGGCCACGTGTCATTGAACGGATAGCAGCTTCAAATCTTATTATTATACAATGGCGAAGTCGAAGCGCCGAAAGCAGCAGTCGCCGCACCATTCCCCGAATCCCGGACGGTTCAGTCCGGGGGCTCCACAGGGTGGTACTAAAACGAGTGTGCCACAAACGGGAATTTCACTAACGAATTCCGCTAAACCCCGACCAGGAAATGTTTACATTATGGATCCGCAATTGGTGACACGTGTCGAGAAGATATTGGCCGATAACGACTACGTGACCGTGGAAGAAGTTGCAATGAAGCTTCGTGAGGCTCATCCTCGGGATTATCAGCGCAAGCCGCAAGGGCCGTTCTTAAAAAGTGTGACTAAAGCGGTGGAGGTACGTCAACCGTCAATCGTTGAATTCATGATTTTACTGAAGTCATTGCCATGCTTCTTGAGCTTAGAGCTCTTATAAAAGTTGTTCAAGTCAGTCGAAGCGTGATAATTTTGAATAAATCCCCCCTCCCCTCCCCGACCCCACACCCATCCCCCCTTCTCGCTCCCCCCCCCCCCCCCCCCCCCCCCCCCCCTCTCCCCCACCCTCCCCCCTCACTCCCGGCCTCTCCCCTCTCCCCTCTACAGGCGGCGCAGCAGCGGATGGAGCGGGGAATGAGCCGCGAGCAGGCGGAGTTTAAGGCGAGCGTACGGGGGAAGAAGGCGGAAGGCGGACAGGCGGAAGGGGGAGGGGCGGAGGATCAGCGACTGGCACAGCTGGAGCAGGCGCACATGCGCGGAAGGGGGATAGTGGAGGCGGAGGGGGGTGATGAAGGGGAAGGGGAGGCGGACGGGGAGGCGGAAGGGGAGGCGGAAGGGGAGGGGGAAGTGAAGGCGGAGGCGGAGGGAGAAGGGGAAGCGGGGGTGAGCACAGGGGAGAAACCTGGCGGAAAGGGTTTACCCGGGGTTCAGGGTTTAACGGGGACTAGCGGAGGGTTGGGCTTGGCGGAAGGGCGCAAAGGGGGAGCGCGGAAGGAGGGCGCGGAGAAGCAGGGGGGCGGGAAGGATAGCGCGGGGGGGCGGGTAAAGGGGGGTGGCAAGGAAGGGGGAGAGGAATTGGGAGATGCAGAGGTGGGGAGTGAAGCGGGAGAGAGTGTGGAGGGGGAGAATGAGGCAATGAGCGTGGAGTGGAGTGAGGGAGAGAGTGAGGGAGCGAGTGAGGGAGAGGGTGAGGGAGCGAGTGAGGGAGAGGGTGAGGGAGCGAGTGAGGGAGAGAGTGAGGGAGAGAGTGAGGGAGAGAGTGAGGGAGAGAGTGAGGGAGAGAGTGAGGAGCCGCCAGAGAGCCCTAAGGACATTGGTACACGCGGCTTTAATCTCCTCAATGCTGCACTTAGGAAGACATACGATAAGGCAGGAACACCAGGAGGGAAGGGAGAAGGGAAAGGAGGAGGGAAAGCGGGAGATAAGGCAGTGGAAGCAGGGAAATCGGCAGGGAAAGGTGAAAGGCCAGGTGCAGGAGCAGGGACAGGAGCAGGGGGAGGAGGAGGTAAAGCTGCTTCAGCCCCTGCGTTTGCGCCTCTGAGTGCTATCAAGGCAGCAGCTCTTCGAGAGGCTGAGAGGCTGGCAGGCAAAGGGAAACAAGTGAGCGCAGGCGCTGCTGCTGGTAACCCTGTTGCTGCTCCTGGCGCCTCTGCTTCTGCTGCTGGTGCCGGTACCGCCACTGTCACTGCTGCAAATGCTGCTTCTGCCGTCGCTGCCGCCACCGCCGCAGCTGCTGCTGCTGCTTCTGCTGCTGGTGTTTCAGGTTCTGCTGTGCCGGTGGTTGGGAATGGAGTGGTGGTTGTTCCTGGCGTGGACGCAGCAGGAGCAGCATTAGAGCAGCTGCAGCTGCAGCGGAATCAGGGGCAGCAGCAGCAGCAGGGGGAAAGAAGGGGCGTGAAGCGAAAGGAGAAGGATGTGGTTGTAACGGATGCCACTAAACAGGAAGCAAATAAGGGCGCCAGTGATATTGTAGTGGCAGGAGCAAGGGCAATAGCAGCAGGAGCAGCAGCAGAAGGAGCAGGAGCAGGAGCAGGAGCAGAAACAGCAGGAACAGGAGCAGCAGGAGCAGGGGTGAAGGCAGCAACAGCAGTTAGGCTCAAGCCAGATCGTTTGCAGGAGAAACAAACCGTTAGTGGCGCTTCTGTAAGTGCCGGTGGCGTTAGTCTAAGTGCCGGTGGCGCTAGTTTAAGCACTGCCGGTCCTGCCATGAGCACGGAGAGCCAGGGGAGTAAACAGAGAGGGCGCAGAGGAGGGGGAACGGGAGGGAGCAGAGGAGGGGGAACGGGAGGGAGCAGAGGAGGGGGAACGGGAGGGAGCAGAGAAGCAGGGGGCAGGAAAGCAGTGAGTTCGCAAGATAGAGGGCAGGTGGGGGGATTAGGAGCAGGTCAGAAACTTGGGGGAGTGGAGGAGGAAGAAGGGATGGAAGTGGGAGAGGAGGGGACGAACAGGGTGGCTGGAAGGGGGAGGGTGAGTGAGGGGGGAAGAGGGTCGGAACGTGAGAGGCAGTCAGAGGGGTTAAGTAAAGGTGGAGACTCCAGCAGAGATCTTTTGAGGGACAGGATCAAGCGGGTGGGCACTAAAGGGAAGAAGAAGGCCGGAGCTAGAGGTTCGGGAGTGGCGGATATCTTTCCGGACGAAGCAGGTCCGGGAGATGGAGGTTCGGCCCGAGCCGCGCCTCGGGAGGTTCGGTTTGCAGATTTTGGGGGAATTGACGGGGTGGTGGAGCAGGTTCGGGAGCTGATTCTGTACCCGCTGGCTCATCCGGAGCTGTATGCTTGGCTCGGCGTCGAGCCTCCAAGAGGAGTGTTGCTCCATGGGCCGCCTGGGTGTGGCAAGACAATGCTGGCCCATGCCATTGCACGGGAAGCAGGAGTGCCATTCTTCAAGATCGCGGCTCCTGAAATCGTCTCCGGCATGTCAGGTATGCCTGTTCTTTGTCTCTATGCACAACCCTTCTGTGAGTATGGCAAGACAATGCTAGCTCATGCCATTGCACGGGAGGCGGGAGTGCCATTCTTCAAGATCGCTGCTCCTGAGATCGTCTCGGGCATGTCAGGTGCGATTTCTGTTTTTCTGAGCCGCCTCAACTCAACAAAATTGCGTATGGATCTGGGGTTTCCAAGCGTTCTCTCCCTCCTGAGTGTGGCAAGCTGATGCTGGCCCATGCCAAAGCACGAGAGGCAGGGGTGCCATTCTTCAAGATGCCTGCTCCTGAAATAGTCTCGGGCATGGCAGGTGCGTTCTCTCTTTCTCTGAGCCAGCTCAACTCAACACGATTACATAGGAAGCTACGGTCGCTCTTCTCTTCGGTTGAAAGGGCTGCTTCTGCCATTCTGTTCATTTCTTAGGCGCCTCAAAAATCGGCTCCGCCTCAAAAATCGACTCCGGCCATTCTGTTCATCATAGATGAGATTGATGCCATCACTCCCAAGAGGGAGTCGGCTCGGCGGGAGATGTGCCGCTGACTGACAGACTGCCAGTCCGCTTGCGTCTTGTGTTTCCGTGTGTTTCCTTACGTAACATTGCCAGGTGAGTCGGAGGCCAAGCTACGGTCGCTCTTCTCCTCGGCCGAAAGAGCCGCTCCTGCGATTCTGTTTATAGATGAGATTGATGCCATCACTCCCAAGAGGGAGTCGGCTCAGCGGGAGATGTGCCGCTGACTGACAGACTGCCAGTCCGCTTGCGTCTTGTGTTTCCGTGTGTTTCCTTACGTAACATTGCCAGGTGAGTCGGAGGCCAAGCTACGGTCGCTCTTCTCCTCGGCCGAAAGAGCCGCTCCTGCGATTCTGTTTATAGATGAGATTGATGCCATCACTCCCAAGAGGGAGTCGGCTCAGCGGGAGATGTGCCGCTGACTGACAGACTGCCAGTCCGCTTGCGTCTTGTGTTTCCGTGTGTTTCCTTACGTAACATTGCCAGGTGAGTCGGAGGCCAAGCTACGGTCGCTCTTCTCCTCGGCCGAAAGAGCCGCTCCTGCGATTCTGTTTATAGATGAGATTGATGCCATCACTCCCAAGAGGGAGTCGGCTCAGCGGGAGATGTGCCGCTGACTGACAGACTGCCAGTCCGCTTGCGTCTTGTGTTTCCGTGTGTTTCCTTACGTAACATTGCCAGGTGAGTCGGAGGCCAAGCTACGGTCGCTCTTCTCCTCGGCCGAAAGAGCCGCTCCTGCGATTCTGTTTATAGATGAGATTGATGCCATCACTCCCAAGAGGGAGTCGGCTCAGCGGGAGATGTGCCGCTGACTGACAGACTGCCAGTCCGCTTGCGTCTTGTGTTTCCGTGTGTTTCCTTACGTAACATTGCCAGGTGAGTCGGAGGCCAAGCTACGGTCGCTCTTCTCCTCGGCCGAAAGAGCCGCTCCTGCGATTCTGTTTATAGATGAGATTGATGCCATCACTCCCAAGAGGGAGTCGGCTCAGCGGGAGATGTGCCGCTGACTGACAGACTGCCAGTCCGCTTGCGTCTTGTGTTTCCGTGTGTTTCCTTACGTAACATTGCCAGGTGAGTCGGAGGCCAAGCTACGGTCGCTCTTCTCCTCGGCCGAAAGAGCCGCTCCTGCGATTCTGTTTATAGATGAGATTGATGCCATCACTCCCAAGAGGGAGTCGGCTCAGCGGGAGATGTGCCGCTGACTGACAGACTGCCAGTCCGCTTGCGTCTTGTGTTTCCGTGTGTTTCCTTACGTAACATTGCCAGGTGAGTCGGAGGCCAAGCTACGGTCGCTCTTCTCCTCGGCCGAAAGAGCCGCTCCTGCGATTCTGTTTATAGATGAGATTGATGCCATCACTCCCAAGAGGGAGTCGGCTCAGCGGGAGATGTGCCGCTGACTGACAGACTGCCAGTCCGCTTGCGTCTTGTGTTTCCGTGTGTTTCCTTACGTAACATTGCCAGGTGAGTCGGAGGCCAAGCTACGGTCGCTCTTCTCCTCGGCCGAAAGAGCCGCTCCTGCGATTCTGTTTATAGATGAGATTGATGCCATCACTCCCAAGAGGGAGTCGGCTCAGCGGGAGATGTGCCGCTGACTGACAGACTGCCAGTCCGCTTGCGTCTTGTGTTTCCGTGTGTTTCCTTACGTAACATTGCCAGGTGAGTCGGAGGCCAAGCTACGGTCGCTCTTCTCCTCGGCCGAAAGAGCCGCTCCTGCGATTCTGTTCATTGATGAGATTGATGCCATCACTCCCAAGAGGGAGTCGGCTCAGCGGGAGATGTGCCGCTGACTGACAGACTGCCAGTCCGCTTGCGTCTTGTGTTTCCGTGTGTTTCCTTACGTAACATTGCCAGGTGAGTCGGAGGCCAAGCTACGGTCGCTCTTCTCCTCGGCCGAAAGAGCCGCTCCTGCGATTCTGTTCATTGATGAGATTGATGCCATCACTCCCAAGAGGGAGACGGCTCAGCAGGAGATGTGCCGCTGACTGACTGACTGACAGTCCGCCGGTGTCTTATGTTTCCGTGTTTCTTGCTTGACACTGCCAGGTGAATCGGAGGCCAAGCTTCGGTCCCTCTTCTCCTCGGCTGAAAGAGCCGCCCCGGTCATTCTTTTCATAGATGAAATCGATGCCATCACCCCCCCAAGAGGGAGACGGCTCAGCGGGAGATGGAGAGGAGAGGAGAACTGTGGGTGGGATGGGGCGCAGCTGCTGCTGCTGACACTTCCATTACTGTTTTTTTTTCTTTGCCGTTTTCTATTGGATGCTGGCAGGCGAATCAGAGGCCAAGCTTCGGTCCCTCTTCTCCTCGGCCGAAAGGGCTGCTCCGGCCATTCTGTTTATAGATGAGATTGATGCCATCACGCCCAAGAGGGAGACGGCTCAGCGGGAGATGGAGAGGAGGATTGTGGCTCAGCTGCTGACGTGTCTGGATGACCTCCAGTCATCCCCTGACACGTCAGCAGGTGGGGAGGGCGCGGAGAAGGCAGGGGATGGGGGAGAGGAGAAGGAGAAGGAACAGGGGAAAGGGATGGAGGAAACGGAAAGGGAGCAGGAGGAGAGAGCGCACGAGAGGGAGAGGGAGAGGAGGAGGAAGCTAAAAGGACATGTGGTTGTGATAGGGGCAACCAACCGTCCAGATTCATTGGATCCTGCTTTGAGGCGGGCGGGCAGATTTGATCGCGAGATCTCCCTTGGGATTCCCGATGAGTCAGCGCGGGCCCGGATCCTGGAGGTACTTTCCAGGAAGCTGCGGCTGGAGGGGTCGTTTGATTTCGGGTTTATCGCGCGGCGTACCCCGGGGTTTGTCGGGGCGGACTTGGCGGCTCTTGCGAAAGAAGCGGCTGCTATTGCGGTGAGGAGGATTTTTACGAGTAAGGAAGCGGTGCTGGTGGGTGGTGGGGGGTTGGGGGGGGCAGCAGGATCAGGAGTGGCAGCGATAGCAGGAGTAGGGGGAGCAGGAGAAATGGAAGTGACTGGAGTAAGGGAAGGAGGAGGAGGTGTTTGCAACAGCAGCAGCAGCAGCAGCAGTGGTAACAGCAGCAGGAGCAGCAGTGGCAACAGCAGCAGCAGGTGTTGGTGATTGTATGCTTGTGGATGGGGAGGAGAATGTTCCTATGGCGAACGGAGAGGAGGGAGAGGCGGAGAAGAAAAGGGAAGGAGAGAGGAGTGGGGGAGGGGAGTCGGAGAGGGAGAAAGGAGGGGGAGGGGAGGCTTGGAGGGAGCCGTGGAAGGAGGAGGAGCTGCAGGCGCTGAGCATTACAATGGGTGACTTTCAGGTGCGTGGCGTGGAGTGCAGTAGAGTAGAGTAGCGAGAGAGAGGTGTGTGTGCTTAGTGGCATGCTTGGTGGCATGGTGCCATGCAGGGGGGAAGGAGAATGGAGGGTGCCGTGGAGAGAAGAGGAGCTGCAGGCGCTGAGCATCACAATGGGTGACTTTGAGGTGCGTGGCGCCGTGGCATAGAGTAGAGTAGAGTAGAGTAGAGTAGAGTAGAGTAGAGTAGAGAGGCATGGTGGGTGATTGATCAGACTAGAGAGGCATGCCATGTGTGTAGCATCTGAGAGTCTACTCTCATGATGCATTTTTGAGTGATTTTTTAGAATTCTTAAAAATCACTTGCAGCGTATGTTTTTCGAGAATTCTAAAAAAATCACTTGCAACGTATTATTTTTTAGAATTCTCAAAAAAACGTAGCATGCCATGTGTGTAGAATCTGGGGGTCGACTCATGATGCATTTTCGAGGTGCAATCAGCGCCAAGAGGGAGGGATTCACCCCACCATCCCTGGGGTCACCTGGGTGATTGATATCAACAAGTTCTTTTCCCTTTCACCACTCTCCACCACTCTCTGCCACTCCCTGCCACTCTTTACCACTCTGTACCGTTCCAGGCAGCAGTGTCAAAGGTGCAACTGAGCGCCAAGGGAGAGGGCTTCACCACCATCCTTGGAGTCACCTGGGACGACGTTGGCGCTCTGGGAGATGGTGGTCTTTTACACCTCTCACCACTCTCCATCACTCTCTGCCGCTCTGTACCACTCTCTACCATGCAGGCAGCAGTGGCGAAGGTGCAACCAAGCGCCTAGAGGGAGGGATTCACCACCATCCCGGGAGTCACCTGGGACAACGTGGGCTCTAGTGACTGCCTTCCCTTCTGAGAACCACACTTACCTCTCTCTACCACTCTGTGCCTCCGTACCCTTTTCTTTTTAATTGCAGGCAGCAGTGGCGAAGGTGCAACCAAGCGCCAAGAGGGAGGGCTTCACCACCATTCCCGGGGTAACCTGGGTGAATGAAATCCACAAGTTCTTTTCCCTTTCACCACTCTCCACCACTCTCTGCCACTCCCTGCCACTCTTTACCACTCTGTACCGCTCCAGGCAGCAGTGTCAAAGGTGCAACCGAGTGCCAAGAGGGAGGGTTTCACCACCATCCCCGGGGTCACCTGGGATGACGCTGGTGCGCTGGAAGTTGATGTGAACGTCTTTTACCCCTCTCACCACTCTCAACCACTCTCCACCACCCTGTGTCACTTTGTACCCCTCCGTACCACTTCAGGCGGCAGTGTCCAAGGTGCAACCGAGTGCCAAGAGGGAGGGCTTCACCACCATCCCCGGGGTAACTTGGGACGACGTTGGTGCGCTGGCAGATGTGAGGGAGGAGCTGGAGTTTTCGATTTCCCGACCCATCAAGTACCCCGAGGAATATGAGGTGGGTTGCTTCTAATGATTTACCACCATACCTTTCCCGGGGTCACCTGGGACAATGTGGGGGCACTCTCAGACGTGAGGGAGGAGCTGGAGTTCTCGATCTTTTGCCCCATCAAGTACCCCGAGGAGTATGAGGTGGGTGGGCTGGGCTAGTGTCCGTGCATGCCATGCATGGCGGGGTAACACATGGATGATATGGAGGGTTTGTCAGACGGGAGGGAGGAGCTCGAGTTCTCAATCTTGCGACCCGTCAAATCCAAATACCCCGACGATTATGAGGTGAGTTGCCCGTTCATGCGTGGTAATGTGCATATGAGATTTGGGACACCTGGGACCTCTCCTCAACTAACCTCTTGTAACAACGCTAGTGCGTGCCTAGTGACTTGGATGCCCCGGGGTGACTTTTGAGTCGACTCAAAAATAACAACGCTAGTGCGTGCCTAGTGACTTGGATGCCCCGGGGTGACTTTTGAGTCGACTCAAAAATAACAACGCTAGTGCGTGCCTAGTGACTTGGATGCCCCGGGGTGACTTTTGAGTCGACTCAAAAATAACAACGCTAGTGCGTGCCTAGTGACTTGGATGCCCGGGCCGGGGTCACCTGGGACCTCTCCTCAACTAACCTCTTGTTTCCCTTGTGGTTTTGTCATTTTTCCTTTTGTTGCCTTCTTGTTTCTCTCTGTACGCTTCCTGCCTCTGTCTGTCCTGCAGGCCATGACCTCCGGGCAGCAACGGGCATTCTCCTCTACGGCCCTAATCGCTGGTGATCTAGGCTGTGTGCTCTTGCTCTCATACAACGTTCTGCCTCCCCCTTTCCTTGCCCCTTGCAGGCAATGGGGCTCCGAGCAGCAACAGGCATTCTCCTCTACGGCCCTCCGGGGTGTGGCAAGACGCTGGTGGCCAAGGCGATTGCCAACGATGCTGGAGCCAATTTCATATCCATCAAGGTATGTCACGGTTCAATTCAAATGCCATAACTTTGGCTCACACGTGTGGCAAGACGCTGGTGGCCAAGGCTAATGCCAACGATGCCGGGGCGAACTTCATATCCATCAAGGTATGTATGCATGTGTGCACAGCACAGGTCACAAGCACGAATGAGGGTGTGTGTTTTTAGGCCCGCCAGGGTGTGGCAAGACGCTGGTGGCCAAGGCGATTGCCAACAATGCCGGGGACCAACTTCATCTCCATCAAGGTATGCTGTGTGTGTGCACCGTGCAGTGTGTGTGCACCGTGCAGCGTGTGTGCACCACAGGAAGGAAGCTGTGTCTCACAAGTGTGGCAAGACGCTGGTGGCCAAGGCGATTGCCAATGATGCCGGGGCGAATTTCATCTCTATCAGGGTATGTCGTGTGTGCACAGGCCACAAGCACGAATGAGGGTGTGTGTGTGTGTGTGTGTGTGTGTGTGTGTGTGTGTGTGTGTGTGTGTGTGTGTGTGTGTGTGTGTGTGTGTGTGTGTGTGTGTGCTTTTAGGCCTGCCGGGGTGCGTCAAGACTCTGGTGGCCTACGATGCGGGGGTCAATTTCATCTCTATCAAGGTATGTCGTGCGTTCACAGGCCACAAGCACGAATGAGGGTGTGTGAGCCTAGGCGATTGCCAAGAATGCATGTGCTCTTGAGTCGGCTCAAAATTGAATTTCATTTCCATCAAGGTATGCCGTGTGTGTGTGTCGGGGGACAGTGTGAGGGTGTGTGAGCCTAGGCGATTGCCAACAATGCATGTGCTTTTGAGGTAATCGCATGGACTCAAAAGTGAATTTCATCTCAATCAATCAAGGTATGGCATTATCACTCATACCCTGCTTGCATGCCATGCCACAAGTCATGGCATTTTGTTGCAGTATGCCAGTAAGGGCCCGAGCTCCTGAACTGGTACGTGGGGGAGAGCGAGTGATGAGTCGATTTTTGAGTCGACTAAAAAATTGCCAGTAACGGCCAGTGCTCCTGAACTAGTACGTGGGGGAGAGCGAGCGGTCGGTGAGTTAGGCAGCTACCATAATATCTCTCTTCTTTTTCCCTCTGCCCTTGCTCCCTCTCCCAACCCTTTCTGTGTCTCTTCACCTGTCAGGGTCCCGAGCTCCTGAACTAGTACGTGGGGGAGAGTGATCAGTCAGTGAGGCAGCTGTTTGTGATGCAGCCGTGCTCCCTTCTCCACTCTTTCTCTCGCTCTCTCAACCCCCACCCCCCACCAGGGTCCCGAGCTCTTGAACAAGTATGTGGGGGAGAGCGAGCGGTCAGTGAGGCAGCTGTTTGTGATGCAGCCTTGCTCCCTTTCTCCACCTCACACTGTCTTTCCTCCTCTCAACCCCCTCCTCCCCTTCAGGGTCCCGAGCTCTTGAACAAGTATGTGGGGGAGAGCGAGCGGTCAGTGAGGCAGCTGTTTGTGCGAGCAAGAGCATCGTCACCCTGTGTGCTCTTCTTTGATGAGGTGAGGAGGAGCATATTGAGTTGCCTTGTGTTGCTAAGGCGCCCCTCACGCCCAGCTGTTTGTGCGGGCAAGAGCATCATTGCCCTGTGTGCTCTTTGACGAGGTGAGAGAGAAGGCGAGAATTGACTCACACAGGGCGACGACGCCCTTGCCCTCACATGCTTTTACTACGCACTTAAACCTGTGCGTTGGCTGTTTGTGAGGACAAGGGCGCCGTCGCCCTGTGTGCTCTTCTTTGACGAGGTGAGGAAAGATTTGCCTAGTTGCGTTTTTCCTCTAAGGCACCGCAAGTGGCTTTGTCTCTCGTGTCAAGCTGTTTGTGAGGACAAGGGCGCCGTCGCCCTGTGTGCTCTTCTTTCACGAGGTGAGAGAAGGATTCGATTCTAAGCACCTTGAAGGCCGTTCTATGCGGTCGAGTTTTGAGTCGATTCGAAAGTCACTTCCTGGGCGGCTGTTTGTGCAGGAAAGGGCACCTTCCCCCTGCAAGAGGGAGGGTGTGACGGCATGGCTCCTGGAAAACTCCCCTATCTTGCCCCACCCCTTCCAACCTTTCTCTTCCATTGCTCAACCTCGCCTCACCACACCCAACTGCACGGATGGAAGGCCATGGCTCAAAGGAGAGGGTCGGATCTCACTGACTCCTAGAGGGGGGCCCTGATGCCTCTCCCCACCCCTCCCCACCCCTCCCCACCCCTCCTCACCCCTCCCCAACCCTCCCCAACCCTCCCCACCCCTCCCCACCAATCCAGATGGACGCAATGGCTCCACGGAGAGGGTCGGATGGCAATGGAGCAGCAGAGAGAGTGGTCAACCAGGTGAGGGGGGGTCAACGCAGGTCAACCAGGTGAGGTGGCTGGTCAACGCGGGTCAACGCAGGTCAACCAGGTGAGGAGGGAGGTCAGTGCGGGTCACCCTCAGGTCAACGTGGATTCACGTGGGTCAATGTGGGCGTGACGTGGTGGGATGTCTTGTTGTTTGTCGGCGGGTTTTGACAAGGCTGACCTAGCGTGGTGGGAGAAAAGAGAAGCACCATTCACCGTGTTTTTGACAAGGCAAAGGTCCGCTGCCTTCACCGTGCAAGTCGTGTTTTGAGTCGACTCAAAACACACCGAGAAGCACCATTCACCGTGTTTTTGACAAGGCAAAGGTCCGCTGCCTTCACCGTGCAAGTCGTGTTTTGAGTCGACTCAAAACACACCGAGAAGCACCATTCACCGTGTTTTTGACACGGCAAAGGTCCGCTGCCTTCACCGTGCAAGTCGTGTTTTGAGTCGACTCAAAACACACCGAGAAGCACCATTCACCGTGTTTTTGACAAGGCAAAGGTCCGCTGCCTTCACCGTGCAAGTCGTGTTTTGAGTCGACTCAAAACACACCGAGAAGCACCATTCACCGTGTTTTTGACAAGGCAAAGGTCCGCAACCTTCACCGTGAAAGTCGTGTTTTGAGTCGACTCAAAACACACCGAGAAGCACCATTCACCGTTTTTTTGACAAGGCAAAGGTCCGCTGCCTTCGCCGTGCAAGTCGTGTTTTGAGTCGACTCAAAACACACCGAGAAGCACCATTCACCGTTTTTTTGACAAGGCAAAGGTCCGCTGCCTTCGCCGTGCAAGTCGTGTTTTGAGTCGACTCAAAACACACCGAGAAGCACCATTCACCGTGTTTTTGACAAGGCAAAGGTCCGCTGCCTTCACCGTGCAAGTCGTGTTTTGAGTTGACTCAAAACACACCGAGAAGCACCATTCACCGTTTTTTTTACAAGGCAAAGGTCCGCTGCCTTCACCATGCAAGTCGTGTTTTGAGTCGACTCTAAACACACCGAGAAGCACCATTCACCGTGTTTTTGACAAGGCAAAGGTCCGCTGCCTTCACCGTGCAAGTCGTGTTTTGAGTCGACTCAAAACACACCGAGAAGCACCATTCACCGTGTTTTTGACAAGGCAAAGGTCCGCTGCCTTCACCGTGCAAGTCGTGTTTTGAGTCGACTCAAAACACACCGAGAAGCACCATTCACCGTGTTTTTGACAAGGCAAAGGTCCGCTGCCTTCACCGTGCAAGTCGTGTTTTGAGTCGACTCAAAACACACCGAGAAGCACCATTCACCGTGTTTTTGACAAGGCAAAGGTCCGCTGCCTTCACCGTGCAAGTCGTGTTTTGAGTCGACTCAAAACACACCGAGAAGCACCATTCACCGTTTTTTTGACAAGGCAAAGGTCCGCTGCCTTCACCGTGCAAGTCGTGTTTTGAGTCGACTCAAAACACACCGAGAAGCACCATTCACCGTTTTTTTGACAAGGCAAAGGTCCGCTGCCTTCGCCGTGCAAGTCGTGTTTTGAGTCGACTCAAAACACACCGAGAAGCACCATTCACCGTATTTTTGACAAGGCAAAGGTCCGCTGCCTTCACCGTGCAAGTCGTGTTTTGAGTCGACTCAAAACACACCGAGAAGCACCATTCACCGTTTTTTTGACAAGGCAAAGGTCCGCTGCCTTCACCGTGCAAGTCGTGTTTTGAGTCGACTCAAAACACACCGAGAAGCACCATTCACCGTTTTTTTGACAAGGCAAAGGTCCGCTGCCTTCACCGTGCAAGTCGTGTTTTGAGTCGACTCAAAACACACCGAGAAGCACCATTCACCGTGTTTTTGACAAGGCAAAGGTCCGCTGCCTTCGCCGTGCAAGTCGTGTTTTGAGTTTACTCAAAACACACCGAGAAGCACCATTCACCGTTTTTTTGACAAGGCAAAGGTCCGCTGCCTTCGCCGTGCAAGTCGTGTTTTGAGTCGACTCAAAACACACCGAGAAGCACCATTCACCGTGTTTTTGACAAGGCAAAGGTCCGCTGCCTTCACCGTGCAAGTCGTGTTTTGAGTCGACTCAAAACACACCGAGAAGCACCATTCACCGTTTTTTTGACAAGGCAAAGGTCCGCTGCCTTCACCGTGCAAGTCGTGTTTTGAGTCGACTCTAAACACACCGAGAAGCACCATTCACCGTTTTTTTGACAAGGCAAAGGTCCGCTGCCTTCACCGTGCAAGTCGTGTTTTGAGTCGACTCAAAACACACCGAGAAGCACCATTCACCGTGTTTTTGACAAGGCAAAGGTCCGCTACCTTCACCGTGCAAGTCCGGCGGTTTTTACTTCATTCGCCGTGTTTTTCTACGGTGCGTACTGTGGTGTATATGGTGCTTACCAGACGATATTTGCTGTGGCATTTCTCGTCTCATGACCTCTGGTTAGATTGCTTTGGTTCCCTTTCGGTGCCGTTTGGATTTGAGCTAAGTTTGCCGCTTTTCTGTGTTTATTTTATTATATATTTTTTCTTGTTCGCGTTGTGGAAACAGCTTCTAACGGAGATGGATGGGCTTGAGTCGCGCAAGAGCGTCTACATTATCGCTGCCACCAACAGGTGTGTGTGTGGTTAGGTTTATGTGTAAAGGAGGGGGGCAGAGGAGGAAGAGTGGGGGGAAGGGTGGGGGGAAGGGTGAGGGGAAGGGTGGGGGGAAGGGTGAGGGGAAGGGTGGGGGGAAGGGTGGGGGAAAGGAAGGGAGAGGGGCGGGAAGGGTGGTGGGGGTGGCCTTGAGTCGCGCAAGAGCGTCTACATGATTGCTGCCACCAACAGGTGTGTGCTTGGGTAGGGGGTGTGTATGAGTGTTGAAGTGAAGGGAAGGGGAGGAAGGGAAGTGGGGAGTGGGGTGGGGGGGCCGTGGTGGACGGTGGGATGAGGAGGAGTGAGCTTGAGTCACACAAGGGCGTCTGCAGCATCACTGTAACCAACATGTGTGTGCTGTGTGCCGGTTAGGAGTGTTGTGTGCGTGCACGAGGGCAAGTGAAGAGAGAGAAGAAGGGATCACTGGCACACTCGTGCATGGCACACAACCCTAATCGCACTGGTATCACCTGCCAGGTATATTATTAAAAATATATACGTATTTATCTATCTATCTATCTATCTATTTATTTATTTATTTATTTATTTATTTATTTATTTATTTATTTATTTATTTATTCATTTATTTATTTATTTATTCATTTATTTATTTATTTATCTATCTATTTATTTATTTATTTATTTATTTATTTATTTATTTATTTATTTATTTATTTATTTATTTATTTATTTATTTATTTATTTATTTTCCAGCTCGAAGTTGTTTTCTAAACTCCCGCCTCCTTCTCCCGTCCCTCTCAACCCCCCTTTCGATCCGTCATGGTCAAACCTTACTTTTGAGTCGACTCATAACCACGTGTAGTGAGGGTGTTTTTGAGACGTCTCAAAAACACCCTCACTACACGTGACTTTTGAGTCGACTCATAAGTCAGTACTTCTGTGCCTCTTCTTCCTCCTCAAAACCCCTCCCCCCGTGACCCCTTCACCCCCTTTCCCCCAAGGTGACTATTGAGTCGACTCAAAAGTTTCCTCCTCAAAACCCCTTCCCCCCTGGCCCCTTCACCCCCTTTCCCCCGCCACCCCTCACTCCCCTTCAACCCTTCACCCTTCACTCCCCTCCCCCCTCACCCCCTCACCCATTCACCTCTCTTCCCCCGTCACACCTTGAACCCCTCACCCTGCCTCTTTTGTTCCTCAGGCCTGACATGATCGACCCGGCTCTCCTCCGCCCCGGTCGCCTCGACAAGCCTCTTTGTGGTGCTCTCAGTACCCTTCCCTTCACCCTCTCACCCGTTCACCCCCTCACCCGCTTCCCCCCTTTGCCATACTTCTTTTCTTCCTCAGACCTGACATGATCGACCCGGCTCTCCTCCGGCCCGGTCGCCTCGACAAGCTTCTTTTCATCCCGCTGCCTGACGCTCCATCACGGGCAGCCATTCTGTGCACTCTCATTCGCTCGATTCCCCGGGCAGCTGACGTGAATGTTGAGCTTATGAATGAGCTGGCGGGGGTTGGGGATGGTGGGGCAGCGGCAGCAGCAGCAGCAGGTGGGGAAGCAGTAGCAGAAGCCGGAGCAGCAAGAGAAGCAGCAGGGGAGGAGAATCCTGGCAGTGCGGAGAAGAGAGGAGGAGGATCAGCAGAAGCGGGAGGGGATGTAGTGGGGAGTGATGGGGGAGAGAGGGAAAGAGAAGGGAAGGAGAAAAATG